CAAACAAACAACCAACAGAGCACGGTCAGTGCCAGCACTGCGCGCGACACAAACAGCCCACCGGCCGTCTCCTGGCTCTGCCCAACAAACAAACAACCAACAGAGCACGGTCAGTGCCATCACTGCGCGCGACACAAACAGCTCACCGGCCGTCTCCTGGCTCTGCCCAACAAACAAACAACCAACAGAGCACGGTCAGTGCCAGCACTGCGCGCGACACAAACAGCTCACCGGCCGTCTCCTGGCTCTGCCCAACAAACAAACAACCAACAGAGCACGCTCAGTGCCAGCACAGCGCGCGACACAAACAGCTCACCGTCCGTCTCCTGGCTCTGCCCAACAAACAAACAACCAACAGAGCACGGTCAGTGCCAGCACTGCGCGCGACACAAACAGCCCACCGTCCGTCTCCTGGCTCTGCCCAACAAACAGACAACCAACAGAGCACGGTCAGTGCCAGCACTGCGCGCGACACAAACAGCTCACCGGCCGTCTCCTGGCTCTGCCCAACAAACAAACAACCAACAGAGCACGGTCAGTGCCAGCACTGCGCGCGACACAAACAGCTCACCGTCCGTCTCCTGGCTCTGCCCAACAAACAGACAACCAACAGAGCACGGTCAGTGCCAGCACTGCGCGCGACACAAACAGCTCACCGTCTGTCTCCTGGCTCTGCCCAACAAACAAACAACCAACAGAGCACGGTCAGTGCCAGCACTGCGCGCGACACAAACAGCTCACCGGCCGTCTCCTGGCTCTGCCCAACAAACAAACAACCAACAGAGCACGGTCAGTGCCAGCACTGCGCGCGACACAAACAGCTCACCGGCTGTCTCCTGGCTCTGCCCAACAAACAAACAACCAACAGAGCACGGTCAGTGCCAGCACTGCGCGCGACACAAACAGCTCACCGGCCGTCTCCTGGCTCTGCCCAACAAACAAACAACCAACAGAGCACGGTCAGTGCCAGCACTGCGCGCGACACAAACAGCTCACCGGCCGTCTCCTGGCTCTGTCCAACAAACAAACAACCAACAGAGCACGGTCAGTGCCAGCACTGCGCGCGACACAAACAGCTCACCGGCCGTCTCCTGGCTCTGCCCAACAAACAACCAACCAACACAGAGCACGGTCAGCGATCTGGAACTGTCGAACCAGCAAACAGCGAGCACACACACACCATAACCTAGTGACTGGCCGCCCGCAGCCAGCCGACGCGGTCACGCCTGTGTAGTTAATAGCCTATGGTCGGTTACATTGAACTCAATTAAAAGAACCTGTGTATAGACGCAAAACAAATACCGTGTATGTAAGCAAAAAAAAACTGAATTATAGCCTGTTCAGTTGAATTATGACCCGTAGTCAAGTAATATAAAAATTGGCATAGCAATTGGCATAACGTATAACCAGGTGAATGGCCTCTTTAACCAGACCAGCCAGTGTTTTCTCACACCAGGTCACTGAACTCTGTCACCAGACCAGTGTTTTCTCACACCAGGTCACTGAACTCTGACAGCAGACCGCCGTCACCTCTCACTGGCCCACAGAAGTTCAGGCAGTTGAACGTGGTGTTGAGCATTGTTAATAAGATCATTAGAAGGATGGAGAATAAGCTGCTGCTCATTTCTATCAGAAATATAAAGTAAACCAGTATATATTTGGGTGTGGCCCTTCCTCAGTGGTAAAGATCACCATAAAACAAAAGAGACGTATGTGACACACGTGAGGCAATATCCAATATTTTGAATTAAATCACTCACAGATATTTTGCATGCACTTCCAAAATAGGCGTCGGTCTAGATTTCGGTAATGACAAATAGCAATATGATATGTAAATGGTTGCACAATATAGGTACAGTTCAATATGATACAGTACGTACGCTCGGTTTTAATCTTGCATTACATATTAGCCGTTTTCACGACGGGCTATCCGGCGAATGCACCTGATTTGACCAAATCTGCACCTAATTTCTTTTACAACAAATATCTTCCTTTTGTGAATTTATTTCAGGGTTTTAACCCTCGCCGGCGGAGGGGGGGCGGCACCCGACCCCCCCCCCCCCCCTAAAGGTTTTTTTCACGATAGCTCCGAACACGCTGGCGATAGAGAGCTGACACTTGGCATACCTGACCTTTGATTCAAGCCGGATCTTTTGACACCAACCGTATTTTCGGGTCAGGTCAGGTCACTGACCTATGACGTCATAAGTGAACCTCTGCACGGTCTTCAGATGTCGCAACTTCGCAACGCCCTCACTGCCAGAGGAGATGTCACAGGAAAATGAAACTTGCAAGATCTAGTATCCATTATGAGTCTCACAGCTTGTATTTCTCGGATTTTTTCCCTAAAGGTCATATGAGGTCAGGTCATTTTCGTGACCTCACCATTATAAGTCAATGGGGAAAATGAAAACTGCTATTCTGGCGCCGGGAACGATCTCCAACTATCTCAAGCCCACAGAATCGTGATTTCATGCATTCCTTGCAAGGCTAGATGCGTCACTTTTGCAATGTTGAACTTGCATGACGTCATTTATGACGTCATCAAGGTCATATTAGTTTTTCGTCAATAACTCCCGATCAAACTGAGCTAGCGAGTCGGGAAAGCCACCAATGGACTCAGGAAGACCTGCCGAATCGAACGATATGCGACATGACCTCTTTCGACCTACTTCGTGACCTGGGGGTGCTGACCTGGTCTTGACCTGAGGTCAACACCCTAAGTTGACCTGACCCGAACAAAAAGTATGTCATTCGACGCTCCTGAGCGAGACAAATACAATGCTGCCAAAATCGTGGTTCTGCGGCCGTTTTTGCGAAGTTATTCAACAAAAACTGAACCGTACCTTGGGGCACTTGACCTGACCTCAGGTCACCAGTTGACCTAGGACCTTAAAATCGAGTACAAATCTCTGCGTCTTGTAACGGCGCACACGCTCGTTTTTCCGCGACGCGCTAGCTCCACCAGGGGCGAAACGGCGAGGGGGGTTCTTACCCGCCCCCCTTGGCAGGTGCGTATGTAGAAAACCAATAGGTCCGGCGAGGGTTAATCGGTGATGCTCTCCGATAATATGACAAAGCAGGCATATAAGCAATTAGTGCAACCCTAGCTTATAGCTGCTAAGAGACACACTGAACCTGATTTGACCAAATCTGCACTTTATCTGTACCAGATGTGCACCATTCGTGTGATGGCCGTCGTGGAAACGGCTATTGTCAACATTTATATACCTAAATAGGTCAAAGGTTCAACGATTCATCGTCCTACATCCTCGCATAACATTTACCACAGTCTAGACTCATACCAAAAAATATCAATTAAAAAATATCAAAAAATAGAACGCCTAGGGGGGGGGGGTTGTATCAACCCCCCCTGAGGTTTTTTCGAAGTGCACGCTAAACGGCTTGTCGTAGCGGGCTGAAATTTTTAATACCCTCTGGGGCAACCTTTGCGCATCTTTTGCCGAAAAAAATTGATCGGGTCATGTCAGGTCACAGAGTTATGACGTCATAAGAGGTACAGCCTCCGGCCGACAGTTACCAAACGTGTGCGCCGAATCCCTAGGTTTTCTGCCGCTGATACCCACATTGTTTGATGGATCCCGATGAAACTTCCCATGCATGTTGGGGCAAGCATTGGCTATCGTGTGGTGCAAGAAAATTGACCGGGTCAGGTCAGGTCACGGAGCTATGACGTCACAAGAGGAACAGCGTCCGGTACTATTTTTGAAAAGCGCCCGAACCACTATTTTGCTAATTCTTGTCACCTCAATGGGAATATGCAGCAATATTAGCTTCTATAGGGAGCAAATGGACCTCTCAAATCCAAAAATACAATCAAATTTCAAAAATTTAAATTTTGATTTTTCGAATTTCTGCCGCCGACTGTGACCTTGCCGACTTCCGGCGCTCCCAACGCGCCATTTTTAGAGCTAGGGAAACGAAATACATACCAAACGATAGAGAATTGATCAAGGAACACGATAGTGAAGGTTTCAAGTCGATATCTCCCACCGTTTTGCCGCAATCGCCGCGGAAAGTTGAAAAAGTTTGATTTTTTTTCGGAAAATTTGACCTTTGACCGGTCATAAGTAGTTCAAATGTTGACCTAGGACCAAAAAATATACCACCAATCGCGAGATCTCGTTGAGAGCAATCCGTTGGTTTTTTCCTCTTAGCTCTACGACCTTCCGTTTCGAAACGCCAGGGGGGGTCGTAACAACCCCCCCCCCTGGTCGTTCGTGTTGTGAGAAATGGCCTGGTCGTGCGAGGGTTATGGTATATTCGGGCACGCCCGAATATATATTCGGGCGTGGCCCAGTGAGAAAGGGCCACGCCCGAATACATATCGGTCTATTTGCCTATTTCTGATAGAAATAAGCAACAGGATAGTCTTCATCCTTCTAATAGCCCACAGAAATCTCAGCAGCCCAATGACCTCTACAATTAGGGATATTTCACACTGACCTCTACAATTAGGGATATTTCAGACGGCGTGGTGACGTCATCGGGAATTTCCTTCACCAAGGAGAGGGCTGCACTGTCTGCGTCCAGAGCAAAGTACCGGGCCCAGTTGGCTGAAACAAACACAAACACAAACACAAACAAAAACAGTACAAACGGCGTGCAAGCACTGACTGGGAAGAAAACAAAATATACTGCTGATAGACCGGCACATCGCAAAGTCGGCAAGAGAAACTCTGATATGAAAATCCTGATTTGCCAATGGTCATTATATTTTTCAGAAAACATGCCGTTATCTCAGGAACTATGGTAGCTAGAAAAACGCATTGAAAAGCAATCGATAGCTCTTAAACTCTTCTTTTGAAAAGGTTATAAACAAAATTGACCTCAGGTCACGGGTTTAGCCTCCAGAGGGCAAAAACTCCAAAAATAGCTGTTTTTAACAAAAGTGTTTTTCGACAATAACTTTCGACAACAAAAAGCCACGACATTTCTATTGCCAGAATCGTGTTCGTCTCGCCGAGACGCGTCGAATGAACTATAAATTGACCTTGAAAGGTCAACTTGAAAATTTGACCTCAGGTCAAGGTCATGACCTGACCGGAAAAGGTCATGTTGCATATCAGTCGATGCGTCTCGGCAAGACAAACACAATGAGATCATCCCCAGCGTTCTATCTCTTTCCAATCGCGAGTTATTGGCAAAAATCTGTTTGTAGCCTCAAATGACCTCGGATGACCTTTCTAGAGGCTATCAGCAAAAATGACACCTTGGTCATCACGGGTGGTCCAAATCATTGTGATTCTGAAATATTTGGACTGTTCTAATGCGTACACACGGATCTAGAGGCATTTTCATTTTTATCCATTGACTTGTAATGGAAAGGTCACGACACTGACCTGACCTTAGGTCACGGATATAAAAAATCCGAGGTATACAAATTGTAGGCGCCCATAACATCATGCAATCCGCCAAGTTTAAAACCTTTCTGACAAACACTGCAGGCTGGACATGATTGCAAACTTTTTTAGGCTTGGTCAGTTAACTTGACCTGGTGACCTGACCTGACATGACCTGGGGTCAAAAATTTCACATATTGTCCAAAATTGATATACCAAAGGCTACCCTAAGCGGCGCGGCGCTACGCGCCGCGGTTTTTTATTCACACGCAAAAAGCGCGACAGGGTGGTAACATATGCCCCCCCCCCCACTGGGGCGAAGGTTAAAGCAAGAGTATCTTTGCTGAAACGAGCGAGTGCGCCGTTACGAGACGCAGCGACTGGTACCCGATTTCAAGGTCCCAAGACAACCGGTGAACTCTGAGGCAGGTCAAGTGGCCAAAGGAGCGGGTTCGGTTTTGGTAGGGGAGGATGGGGTAATTTGGCCGTTTTTTAGGAAGCGCTGTAGCTCGGCTGCTCGAAATTGGTGACATACTTCTGCACTCTTTCAAGGCTGGAAGGTGTAGCATTCATGCTACTTTCTTTTACAGTAAGCTGGAAATGTAGAGCAACTACTTTTGCCTGGATTTTGACGTTTCACAAAGGCCTGCAAAGCGGCTAAATTGCCCCGCTAGCAGGGTTATTTGGCCGGTGGGGTGGGGCAATTTGGCCGGTGTTAATTTAAGGCTTGGATTTTTTGTTCCGGGCAAGTCAGCTTCAGCGTCAGCAATGACATGTGTCCTTTACGCATTTTTAGGCTGACTCGATGTCGGACTATTCGAATGATTTTGATTCAGGTCGTATTTCAACATTTTCCTGCACAACTGAAAATGCGCTTCCTTAGCATACTTTGCTAAATCAAATATTTGTATCTTATTTGTCGTGAAAAAGTTAACTTTTTATTCCAGTAAGGAAATATTCGACTAATTTCAATTAAAATTCTTAGCAATCAAAGAAATTACTCAGCTCAGTCTCAACTCCTCACATCTCATAGCTGTCCGATCACTGATGTCTGCGAGCGAGTTGTTGATAGTGTTTACCAGCTGGAGATGTGACTATCAGTTTGGTTTGAGCAGGTCCCTAGCAACTTCGTCGTGTTGCTTTGCGCAGTGTCTTAATGAGCCCCTTGGAGGCAGACTGTGCCGCAATGCTACTGCCAACGGCTATAAACCCAGCCAGCTCGGCACCACGACCAGGTCACTCCTGAGCGGGGCGAACACGATGCTGCCAAAATCGCGGCTCTGCGGCCGTTTTTTGCGCAGTTATTCGCCAAAAACTGAACCGTACCTTGGGGCACTTGACCTGACCTCAGAGGTCACCGGTTGACCCAGGACCTTAAAATCGGGTTCCAACCTCTGCGTCTCGTAACGGCGCACACGCTCGTTTTTCCGCGACGCGCTAGCTCCACCAGGGGCGAAACGGCGAGGGGGGCCGTACCCCCCTTCGGCCAGCGCGTATGTAGACAAAGACAATAAATAGGTCCGGCGAGGGTTAAGATTGATGTCAAAGCTAGCCTCGAAGGATATATTCTTGTCCTGGATGGTAATGACGTCACACAAGAGATGACGCCAGTTGGTCGGCCGATTCGTGTAATACAGTTGGCGAATACGCGCCCCGGCCAACGCTACAAGTGCAGCTTCCTGCCTGCCTGCCCTCTCCCTTCCTCCCTCCCTCCTCCCCCCCCCTGCGCCGTTCAGATCACCGGCCGCCGGTGACGCCACGCGCGAGCTGACCTGACGGTAGGTCGAGGAGCGTGTACTTCAGCGGCCCGCCGTTGTCCGGATCCGTGGCCGAAATGGCCTCCGGCTTCACCGCCAGCGGACCCAGCGCCTGCCGGGACACGGGGATCAGCCAGGCGACGACGCTATGCATCTATCTCCGGCCGGGACGACCCTAGTCAGCTATATACCATCAGCCGGGGACGTCCATAGTCAGCTATATACCACCAGCCGGGGACGTCCATAGTCAGCTACCACCTGCCGGGGGACGACCCATCCAGCTACCATCAGCCGGGGGACGACCCTATCCAGCTACCACCGGCCGGGGGACGAACCCATTCAGCTGCCACCGGCCGGGGGACGAACCCATTCAGCTACCATCAGCGGGGACGACCCTAGTCAGCTACCACCGGCCGGGGGACGTCCCTAGTCAGCTACCACCGGCCGGGGGACGTCCCTAGTCAGCTACCACCGGCCGAGGGACGAACCCATTCAGCTACCATCAGCGGGGGAGTTCCACGATTCCACGCGTACACTCAAATGGCATGGCACACAGGTATGGCATACACGTATGCTTATTTCTTACCTTGCGATCGAGCGCCTCTGCAGTGTAACCGGTGTAGCCGAACTCCGGAGGCATGTTGTCCACGTCAGTTACGTTTATAATGACGTCACTGGTGGATTTCAGACCACCCCGGTCCTGCGGCACACACCGAGCGAGCAGCCCATGTAACAGGAAGGCTTCAGTTATAGTGACGTCACTGGTGGATTTAGGACAGGCAGAGAGCAGCCCTTGTAGCTGGACGGTCGCAGTTATAGTGACGTCACTGGTGGATTTAGGACAGGCAGAGAGCAGCCCTTGTAGCTGGACGGTCATAGTTATATTGACGTCACTGGTGGACTCCAGGACAGACAATTCTTCGGACACTTGTTGTTGAGGGTCGTCCTTGGGCTTGCCTGGGACGGCTGCTATATGTATAGGTCGCCAGTAACTGTTGAGGGGCGCCGCACACTGGTCGGACATGAAATGCCTCCCCCTACAACACGGGTAAGCTCCTTTTTTCACGCAGGCGTTTTGGGTGGTCGTGGGAAACGGCTCACTAAGCGCACGGCTGTCCACCGTCAGGCGCGTAACCACGAGTCTGAAGTTACTGGGGACCACATGGAGGGCCGCGAAGACCAAATATGATATTTCAGGATCAGCCTTCGCTGGAGTGTGTGTATGTGTGTGTGGGGGGGGGAGGGGGGGCGTTTTGGGGCACACCTGCCAGCTTTTTTTGCGCGTGTAAGGTAAACTTCGGCGCGCACCGCCGTGAAACTTGGTATAGCTTATGATGCTTCAATTTCGCATCGTGTGTAAAAAGTTTGGCCCCAGGTCACCTAAGGTCAGGTCACCATGGCAAATAAAGTAACCATGTCTCTAAAACTTTGTGACTCTGTCATTCCTATAGTTTACACCCCAGAAGTTTGAAACTCGAGCCTTTACTTGAGGAAATCAGTATGAAAAATTCGTTAACCTATCTCAAAGTTTTCACATCGGTAACCTAGTGTCAGGTCAATTTTACGACCTCTCCATTATAGATCATTGGGAGAAAATTGAAATGCTCTTCTTTTGGCCGAAAAGACATTCAAACACCGTGACACAGGTAAACATGGCACATTGAACCGGAAAATTGCATCTGTGACCCCTCTATGCCCCTCAGCTCATCTCAGGTCATAAACATCTCCAACAGTGTGTTATCACATTTCACAACTTTTGGTAGAAACACGCTAGAGCTCTGAAAACATCATGAATGTGTTCAGCTCAACAATACCAATCAAATGACATGCAACATGACCTTTTCCGTGATCTGGACCAGGTGTCAAATTTTAAAGTTGACCTTTTTTCAGGTCAACTTATAGTTCATTCGACGCGTCTCGATGAGACAAACGCAATGCCGGTAAAATCAGCGTCATACAAGTCCAAAGCTATGATGCAAAAACCTTTTCCGCAAAAAACGCCAGCCTGGAAGCTAAAGCGTTGACCTTAGGTCAAATCTGAGAGCATTAATCAGAAAGGCCTTTGAAAGCGCTATCGAATGCGCTTTCCCGCAGCATTGCAGCTCTATTGGTTCCTGTCTTATGCGCCGATTTGTGAAAAGTTGTCAAAATTGGGAACACAATTTCGTGAAAATGTTGCTTTTGGTGACCTGCAGTGACCTCAGCAGTGACCTGGTCAAAAAATGATGTGGGTAATTCTGAAAGATACTGTAGAGAGTTATCTGTTGCTTTTTACCTCGTCTTTCTAGCTTGGTTACTTTGTTACTTTCCGAGATAACCTGGTGTGGCCAAAAAGCCCCCCCCCCCCCCCCACCATGGCGAAGCTGGCTGACATGGGGGGGGGGGTACCACCCCCAGGTAGTTTTTCTGCTCTGCACTCAACATTTTTTAAGCTAGAAGCCTGATTTTTCGAATAGCTGCTCCCCTATCCTTTCTTAATGTTCACTGAAAATTTCAAGTTTCTGTAGTTTTTACTTTCGGAGATATGACCTTGTTTTTCAGCTCATGTCATGACCCAAATGACCAATTCTCAACATATTGCGTTGGCTATGGGCCTTGTGAGCTGCTGACACCTTGATTTCGGCCTTTTTTGCCAATCTTACCTCCCACCTATCATGGAACATGTTGTTCGACGATGTACAGATGTCAAGGTCAGGGTCAAGGTCAACCTAGGTCATCTAAAATAATTGTGTTTTAGGCAAGCTGAATTTACTTTTCGTGATTTTTTTGGCTGCATTTTTAATAAAAGCTTCTCAGATCATGATTTCATATAATATGGACACATAAACAATCGGTGCACACATCTGTATACACACAGACACACACAGACATATAAACACATATTATTGACCTTGACCTAACTTGACCTGAAATGACCTCAGCAGCAAAAACCTGGTCGGGTAGTGTGACGAAGCGGTTCTAGCTGGCTTGGCACCAGAAAATGGCATCGTCATCGGTATATGATAAGCAGCGCACTTGATATTCAACAGTGACCCAACACAGCAACATTTTTTAGTTTGACCTGACTTGGAAGGTCAATGACTGACCTGAGAAGGTAAAACTGGGTGTCATTGGATTTGTCTCTTCCTAAAAAATCTTTTTGGTCTTACCGCGAAGCTCTATCTCCAACAAGAATGAAATGGCGCGGGGGTGGCAACCCCCCCCCCCCCCCATGCGCGTTCTAGGATGGGAAAATGGCATGTGCGGGCGAGGGTTAATGAGCAAATTGAGGTCGTCAGTTTTACTGGGGACGGTCCCCAGTAACCCAAAAGTTACTAAGGACCGGTCTCCAGTGTCCCCAGTGGTGGTTACGCGCTTGTCCACCGTATGATTCGGGGACACTTTTAAAACAAGCACAATGTCCGCTCTAAAATGATCACAGGCTTGTGAACAGATTCCAGAATGTCACGGCTAAGTGCAAGGAACAAAACGCACGGAAGGTCATGTTTTGGGCTGCCGTGGTTGACGGGCGTGTCTTCGTCCACTGGTTCGCTGCTGGCTTATCAGTGACCGGGCCAGCTTATCTGAGGCTGCTTAGTGCTCAAGGAAGAATTATGGCCTCATGTGCCTGCGTCCACCAGCGCCTGCCGTTGCACTGGGTGGCAGATCCAGGGGTCTCGGGTTCGAGCCCCGCCGGGTGCGGATATTACCCACCTGTGCCGTTACGGTGAGATGGTACTCGTTCTGCCGGCTCCAGTCCAGTGTCCTGTTCAACACCAGCCGGGTGAGGTAGGTGGCCGGCTGTGTGGACGTCTGCTCAGCTTGTGTGAGGCTGAACGTGCCGGTCCCGTCCTCCAGAGAAAACGTCACCGCATTGTTGGTGGGGTCACCGTCGTAATCTGAAAGCAGCGAGTGGTGGGGAGGAGGCAGCGAGTGGTGGGAATGAGGCACGGCCTTCAGGCGCCCGCGGCCTGGTGGGGCCCGTTTATAACGCGACCTGGTGGTGGGGGAGCTATTTTTTACCCCCCCCCCCCCCGTATCTCGGAAAATACTGGACGGATCCGCAAAATTCAATTGGTGTTCCAAAGCCCTATCAAATTTGTCAAGGAAACTCCAATTTTATTGACCTCGGGGTCACCAATGACGTCACAGGTCACTCTCTGCCCCACTCTCCCCTACTCAGTTCACGTTGAGATCAGTTTCGCTGTAACTGTATCAGTTCAATTGGTCTCCCAAATAACCGCAATATATTCGTTCAGACTGGCTTCGCTGATTCTGGCCCTCGCTCTAATTGATAATCGCTGTAATTGAACTCGCTGAATTGACAATCGTTCCGAGAGTGTATTGTAGCATTGTTTGGAATGGAGCGGCTGATACCCATCTGAAAAGGATCGAACGCGTTCAGCACAAGTTCTTGATGTGGCTGAGTAGTCGTTGTCGCGTGGCGGACGCCTCACTGGAATATAATGATCTCCTACGTGCTTTCAAAGTAGGGACTCTAGCGGCTCGTCGTGCACAGCATGACATTTTATTTATTCGGAATGTCCATCAGCATGTCATCAACTCGCCCTTTCTTTCAGAGTATATGCCTATTTTAGTGCCCGCTAGATCGTTTCGGAACACCAATGTCTTTTTAGTTCCTTTTGGCAGGACAAACACTGTCAAAAATGGCATTTTTAGTCGTGCTTCCAGCCGATGCAACGCATTCCTGCGGAGCAACGCAGATGTTGATGTATGGACGGAGGGTACAGCTGGTTTCAAAAATAGGGTGGTGCGCTATGTACATAGCTCCTCCGAATGGTAGGATTTACGTGCATGTGAGTGTCGGGGTGTCCGGTGTATCAGTGTCGTGTGTTAGTGTATGTTTTTATAATTTCACTGTCCGACTTCACCTGTCATTGGGTGCAAGCCCGTTGTTCATTATTAAATAAACAAACAAACAAACAAAGTCAATAGCTTAAATTGGTCATCGCTGAAAGGTTTCCCTCCAGTGTCGTTGGCTCAGACGGCGCCCGCTCTCAGGTGCCGTACGGCGCCCGCCCTCAGGTGCCGTACGGCGTCCGCTCTCAGGTGCCGTTGGCTCAGACGGCGCCCGCCCTCAGGTGCCGTTGGCTCAGACGGCGCCCGCTCTCAGGTGCGGTACGGCGCCCGCTCTCAGGTGCCGTACGGCGCCCGCTCTCAGGTGCCGTTGGCTCAGACGGCGCCCGCTCTCAGGTGCCGTACGGCGCCCGCTCTCAGGTGTCGCCGAACTGTTCTCACCTGTAGCGCTGATGTTGAGTGCGAAGATGGCCAGTTGGGTGGGGTAGTTCTCCGACACTGCCACCAAGTAGGAGCTGCTGGAGAACTGAGGAGGGGCCGTGTTGGCGTCCCTCACCGTCACCGTCACAGTCTGCTCCTCCGACTGAAACGGAACGGGGCCGCTGTGACAGGAACGGGGCAACTGTGAGTGGAACGGGGCAACGGGGAGTGGGACGGGGCAACAGGGAGAGTCGCAGGCCACCCACTGTGTAAACTGCTGTAGGTCGAACGAAAACAAGTATTTCTTACAAAAACTGTGATGGCAACATGAAGATAAATAGATTACCGCTAAACCAAAAGAGACCTAGGCCTCTTGCACCAAACTACCTAGCTAAGTAAAATCGAAAAACCTGTTTCAGAATAAGCTAATCTAACGGTGGTATATTTGTTTGCAATAGCCCAATACATACTCCTACATGTGCTTGCTAAATTTTGCACGCAAATTGTTACAATTGAGGCTTGAACTGGGTATACGTTGCAAAATAATCCAAGCATTGGTGCAAGAGGATTCTGGTGCAAGAGGCCTCTGGTCAAAAAGACAAAAGTCTTTTTGTGGCCTGGCATTAGAAGCAGCGCGTTTTGGGGACCATGTTCATGAATAGTTTTTTTTTCTTTTGCAATTTGTATAAAATGAAGTAAGCTAGCGGCGTTTGAACTTGCAAGTACCCGACAGTCATTTTACGACATGGAAAATGTCACGACATTGGACAATTTTATACGGGCCAATTTTGACAGAAACACGAAAATGATATTTTTTCAGCTACGCCAAACATTTCCCTAACTTGCCATGTTACAATTTATTCCATTAAGTTCAGTTGAATCATGGGTCCTTTGGGCATTATCCCGCGCGGGGCTGGGGTCTCCAGCCGAGCGCGCGGGGCTGGGGGGGGGGGTAAATTTTACCCCCCCCTGTTATCTCCCGAACTAATGGTCTGATTTGGAAAATTCAAACGCCAATCGAAAGATCTCATCACGAACAACTAAAAACATGTACTTAATTTTAAGTTTGAGGTCAAGGTCAAGGTCAGGTCAAGGATACAAATTGCAAGTTCCTACAGTATCGGCCTTGCACCGTAGTTGCCGAAGAATGGAGTCATGGACTGAGACTGATCGCCCAAAACGTGTTCTTAGGCTACCAAGATAATATTCGTTGCATACAATATCATTCAGAGGTCAAGGTCAAGGTCAGGTCAGGTCAGGTCAGGTCACCAAAAACAAAATATAGAAAAGGGCATGTGCGACACATGTTTTATGGGTCATTTTACTCATAGAATTCAATAGGCACACTCAATAAGTGATATGGGCCACCTCTGGATGAAGTTCAGGTCGAGGTCAGGTCAAGGTCAGGTCAAGTGAGGTCAAATTTTGAAGTTGGTTGTTAAGGCCTAAAAAGGTGTCTATCTGATGCAGTTTTTCACGGCAAATCGAATGGTGCTATTTTTGTTTCCGTACGAGGTCTAGAACTTCCAAAAAAGTCATTTTTCAAAAAATTGTGTGTCGTGACGTCATACAATTTTGAATAACTCCCACATTTTTGAACCGATTCTTCTAAAACCTGGTATGTAGGTACACATAGACCACTTCTCTGACATATATTACGGTTTTTTCGATACACTCAAAACTTTGGATTTAATAGCTATTTTCCCAAAAAAGTCAGTTTTTTGAAAAAAAATTGGGCCAAAATCCAAAATTTTCAAAAAACCGAGATAGCCATTTGATAGACAAAGTAGAATTACGTATATCCTTTTTGTTACGTCTTGATTCCTTTAAAAATGAAGATGTTAGCGGCGTTTGAACTTTTGCCGTTTTTGAGGCGAAAATGGCGAACATGACGTCACTAAAACGTCAATTTCTCAAAAATTTTCCGACGGATTTCGCTCAAATTTTCAGGGAATGTATCACATTGATGTAAGAAAAGGTACTGAAAGTTTGGCGGCGCTGCGCGCCGCCGTTTTTGAGATATTGCAAAAATTCGCGAGGGGGGGTTAAATTTCCCCCCCAGCCCCGCGCGGGTGGCCACTCACGATCTTCATTTTCTGTGTATACGGAGGAGGGTTAACCCGGCAGGCGGTGGGCCTACCAGCCACCTTCCGCGCGGTGGGGGGGGGGGGGCACTTTTTTGCCCCCCCCCGTATCTCCGAAACTACTAGACGGATCCGGAAAATTCAAACGGCATTCGATAGCCCTGTCAAATTTGTCGAGGGAAACCAAATTTCATTGACCTCGGGGTCACCGATGACGTCACAGGTCAGGTCAAAGATAAAATGTTTCACCGTTCACGGGGCTTCTAGCCCTAGAACGCCTAGGGGGGGGGGGGTTGTATCAACCCCCCCCCCTGAGGTTTTTTCGAAGTGCACGCTAAACGGCTTGTCGTAGCGGGCTGAAATTTTCAATACCCTCTGGGGCAACCTTTGCGCATCTTTTGCCGAAAAAAAAAATTGATCGGGTCATGTCAGGTCACGGAGTTATGACGTCATAAGAGGTACAGCCTCCGGCCGGATTTTCACAAACTGAGTGCCAACGCCCGAGGTTTCCTGCCGGTGGTACGGACATCGGTTGATGGATCGTGATGAAACTTCCCATGCATGTTGGGGCAAGTATTGGCTATCATATGGTATAAGAAATTTGACCGGGTCAGGTCAGGTCACGGAGCTATGACGTCACAAGAGGAACAGCGTCCGGTACTATTTTTGAAAAGCGCCCGAACCACTATTTTGCTAATTCTTGTCACCTCAATGGGAATATGCAGCAATATTAGCTTCTATAGGGAGCAAATGGACCTCCCAAATCCAAAAATACAATCAGATTTCAAAAATTTAAATTTTGATTTTTCGAATTTCTGCCGCCGACTGTGACCTTGCCGACTTCCGGCGCTCCCAACGCGCCATTTTTAGAGCTAGGGAAACGAAATACATACCAAACGATAGAGAATTGATCAAGGAACACGATAGTGAAGGTTTCAAGTCGATATCTCCTACCGTTTTGCCGCAATCGCCGCCGAAAGTTGAAAAAATTCTATTTTTCCGAAAATTTGACCTTTGACCGGTCAAAAGTAGGTCAAATGTTGACCTAGGACCAAAAAATATACCACCAATCGCGAGATCTCGTTGAGAGCAATCCGTTGGTTTTTTCCGCTAAGCTCTACGACCTTCCGTTTCGAAACGCCAGGGGGGGGGGTCGTAACAACCCCCCCCCCCCTGGTCGTTCGTGTTATGAGAAATGGCCTGGTCGTGCGAGGGCTAGGGAAAGCGCTATAACACCGAGTAAAACGCATTTTGTCGAAAATCAGCGATAAAGCGTCAGTTGTCTAGTACATATGTTGCTATTAGAGGTCACTGGTCATACCAGGTCAGGTCACAGGTCAGGTCACCAAAGGTCACCAAGGGTCACCACATGAGCCCAACTTTAGTAAGGTTATGCGATGCATGTTTTATGGCCAGTTTTTCATTTCCAATTCAATGGTGTTGGTTATAAGACCATCAGGTACGGTTTAGGTCACTTTCTGGTGGAGGTCAGGTCAAGGTCAGGTCAAAAAAGGTCAAATTTCAAAGTTGATATTTATGCATAAAATGGGTATCGATTCGATGCAGCTCGTCACGGGGAGTCTAATGGTGGTCTTTGTTTTGCGCTACGAGGTCTAGAATTGCTAAAAATTGAGTTTGAAAATTTAACGTCATCAATTTTGAACAGTTTTTTTCGCTATAACTTGGCCAAAAAAAGAGGTATCGATCTCAAATTTGGTATGTAGATAGAAGGCGGTAAGGGCTATCACATATATTCCGGTTTTTTTCGAATTTTTTTTTTTTTGATTTTTTGGCTACTATATTAAAAAAAATTATTTTTTGATTTTTGGGGGTCAAAATCCAAAAAATTCGAAAAACCGACATGGCAGTTTTGTAGCCCTTTTAATTTTACACCTTTTATGTTAAAACATTTTTCTGTATCTCTAAAGCTGTAGGTGTGACAGATCTTCCCGCGAAACCTTTTTTTTGGGTCGAAAATGGCAAAAATGACGTCACTCTGACGTCATTAGCGGCCAACCTATCATAGCCTTTGGAACAATATTTGGTCAATATGTGCGCTAGCTGCTCCCGGGAGGGTACTGAAAGTTTGGTGACGATCGGCGCAGCGGTTCTCGAGATATATCGAAAAAACTAAAGGGGGGGGGCAAAAAATTGCCCCCCCCCCACCGCCTGGAAGGTTAACCCTCGCATGTGTAGGAGGGGGGGGGTCGGATGGACCCCCCATGGTTTTTCAAGAATTACTCGCGCCAAAAGCGGCTGATCGCGACAAAACGTTCAGTACCCTCGAGTTGATCAATTTTCCACCTCCTCTGAAAATTTCATGACCCTGACCCAAGTGACCTTTGACTTGTGACCTATTTCTCGAGGCTATGTTTATCCGAAATCGCGATTCGGCATATGTCGGCTCGCATTAGCCGCGCGTTTGCAAGCTTCTCGTGGTTTCAAACGCTCAACCATGAGATTTGATGTTGCTCCCATGCATTTGGGTGGATGTCAAGGTCACCTGAAGGTCAGGTCAGGTCATTGACCTTTGGTGACCTCGGTTCACTTCTTCGAGCTGTACATGTTTCTAGGCTAGTTTTTTAGCTGAATTCGAATTTAGCAACCATTTGAATATTTACGAAGTAGTTTTGGTACACTCGGGGGCAGATTGGTGTTCCACCACTCCGTACCCATCGGGCGATCCCATGGCTCAGCACTGGCTGCTGCCAGTGTTGCCTGCCCTCAGCACTGCTCAGCACTGCCTGCCAGTGCCAGTGCTGCCAGTGCTGCCACTGGCAGCAGTCAGTGCTGAACCATGGGAGCCCGATGGGTAGGGAGTGGTGGAACATCAGTCTGCCCCCGAGTGGCCTTTTTTTGATATATTAGCCAAAAAATCCAAAACGTTTTTTATGTTTCGAAAAAAGCCGGAATATATGTGATAGTACCTACCATCTACTATCTACATACCAAATTTCAGATCGATACCTCGTTTTTTGGCCAAGTTATAGCGAAAAAAACGGTTCAAAAATGATGACGTCAAATTTTCAAACTCAATTTTTGGCAATTCTAGACCTTGTAGAGCAAAACAAAGACCACC